GTGGTGTTAGAGGCACTGATGTGGTGTTATATGCAATTGTGTGGGTGTTAGGAGGCACTGGTGTGGCGTTAGAGGCACTGGGTGTGGGTGCTAGAGGCACTGGGTGTGTTAGAGGCACTGTGTGGTGTTAGGGGAGGCACCGGTGTGGTGTTAGAGGGCACTGGTGTGGTGTTAGAGGCACTGGTGTGGTGTTAAGAGGCACTGGTGTGGTGCTAGGAGGCACTGGTGTGGTGTTAGGAGGCACGGTGTGGTGTTAGAGGCACTGGTGTGGTGTTAGAGGCACTGGTGTGGTGTTAGAGGCACTGGTGTGGTGTTAAGAGGCACTGGTGTGGCGTTAGAGGCACCGGTGTGGTGTTAGAGGCACGGGGTGTGGTGCGTTAGAGGCACGGGGTGGCGTTAGAGGCACTGGGTGTGGCGTTAAAGGCACTGGTGTGGTGTTAGGAGGCACTGGGTGGTGTTAGAGGCACTGGTGTGTGGTGTTAGAGGCACTGATGTGGTGTTGTTAGGGAGGCACTGGTGTGGTGTGCTAGCTGCACCGGTGTGGGTGTTGTGGAGGCACGGGTGTGGCGTTAGAGGTGCACGGTGTGGTGCTAGAGGCACCGGTGTGTGGTGTTAGAGGCACGGGTGTGGCGTTAGAGGCACGGGGTGTGGCGTTAGGAGGCACTGGTGTGGGTGTTAGAGGCACTGGTGTGGTGTTGTGGTATGCACTGGTGTGGTGTTAGAGGCACTGGTGTGGTGTTGCTGCACTGGTGTGTGTTAGAGGCACGGGTGTGGCGTTGGAGGCACGGGTGTGGCGTTAGAGGCACTGGTGGCGTTAAAGGCACTGGTGGTGTTAGAGGCACTGGTGTGGTGTTAGAGGCACTGGTGTGGTGTTGTGCTGCACCGGTGTGGTGTTAGGAGGCAATGGGTGTGGCGTTAGAGGCACGGGTGTGGCGTTAGGGAGGTAATTTCGGTGTGGCGTTAAAGGCACTGGTGTGGTGTTAGAGGCACTGGTGTAGTTAGAGGCACTGGTGTGGCGTTAAAGGCACTGGTGTGGTGTGAGGCAAGCACTGATGGTGTTAGAGGTCTGTGTGGTGTTAAAGGCACTGGTGTGGTGTTAGAGGCACGGGTGTGGTGTTAAGATAACTGGTGTGGCGTTAGGAGGCACCGTGTGGTGTTAGAGGCACGGTGTGGCGTTAGAGGCACGGGGTGTGGGCGTTAGAGGCACTGGTGTGGCGTTAAAGGCAATTGTGTGGTGTTAGAGGGCACTGGTGTGGTGTTAGAGGCACTGGTGTGGTGTTAGAGGCACTGGTGTGGTGTTAGAGGCACGGGTGTGGCGTTAGAGGCACTGGTGTGGCGTTAGAGGCACTGGTGTGGTGTTAGAGGCACGGGTGTGGCGTTAGAGGCACTGGTGTGGTGTTAAGAGGCACTGGTGTGGCGTTAGAGGCACCGGTGTACAGAATTTCCACCCAATCGCTTTCCTTATCAAACTACGGATCGATTTTCCGCAGTTCTAATTTGAATTTACAGCCACTTGACGTAAGCTTATATAAGAACACCGAGCTAAATCCCCTCTCTGGAGAACCGCGGCCCCATTACAGGCGCTCCTCAGTCAGCACCAAGCCTTTAGAAGTTTGAGTTTTATGGCTCGGAAACAGTGGACGATTTCCATATTTTAGTCTCAAGGCTTCACCAAGACACGCCGTTGGGGCCGTCCACTGAGCTGGTATATAGAACGGCTCGGTACACAGCGGGGGTAACTGAAGTAAATAAGCTTCTCGCACCTCGTCGTAAAATATACACTAAGTCTATTATATTTTTTCTTTTATTGATTTGTCTAAGTATTTATAAATGTTTGTATGTATGTAAGTCTCTTTCTCTCGTTCTTGTTCTTGTGGTTTTAAAAAGGAAAGTCTAAGAAAACAGTACGATACCATTCGGAGTTGAAGTAAATAATTCTACTTTCATTGTGTTAACATGTACCAGGACACGAGGGCTGATAAACGAGATGTACAGATCAAAGTCTTATAAAAACAGATCAAAGTCTTATAAAAACAGATGAAAGTCTTATAAACAACAGATCAAAGTCTTATAAACAACAGATCAAAGTCTTATAAACAACAGGTCTTCAGTCACTCACCTTCTCTTCCCAGGTAAGGGGTTTGTTTACATCATTGTCATGCTGCATCTCTGACTCTCCAGAACACTCGACACGTCACAGACAAAATGATCTCCGCAGTGAAATATTCTCCTCCATCACAAACCGGAAATTCAATTCCATAATTTAAGAGCGGGAAAGAACACAAACACAGCCCGAGGCAAACTCAGCAAGTGTTCCAATACTGACCTTTTCCAGGAGATCCATAGGCTGAAGAGGATTGTTATTGGCCACATTTTGCACTGTAAGCTCCGCCTCCTTCCCACGACCGACCAATCGCAAGAGGTCCTCCAGAGTGCGAGCAAGTTTTTGGCGGCAAACTCCTTGACCAAGTGTTTCTAGTAAATGTTTCAAATTTTCCATATCGGGTTTATTTTTTTCCTCATAAACTTCACTTTAATTAACTTTTCCCTTGAATAATAACTAAACTTTCATCTCTTTGTCTCTAAATCACCGAGTGGAGTGTTTCATCTTCTCAGCGTTAATTCTCCCTCAGTTAACTTCCAGACCAAACATTACACAATACGTATATATATAAGTTAAGGGAGCTGAAATTACACTAGTTGGCCCAGGTGCTCACAAATAGCCAAAGAACAAAAAAAACCCTCGTCGACGTAACCAGCCATTTGAGGACGACTTCATTAAGACAAACACGGTCTTGGCCCATCCACCAGGGATCCCTAACCCATTTTAATTTTGAGACGGTTCATCAGGAGGGGTCTGGTTCCCCTTTCTCCCTTCCGGTCGCTGACACGTCCCCGCCAGATCCATGCCCCCCCTTCATCCCCACGCTCCCCTACCCCCTCAGTCGTGTTCTGGAATCCCTGGAATGACTCAGAGCCAACGTTTATGGCACACGGGAATATTTCATTACGTTCACAGTATCAGCTCTGTTAGGACAAGTGGAGGACAGACGAGGAACACCGGGGTCAGCAAGTATACACCAGGACCGAGTAATGAATGTTATAGACACCCAGAAACAAACCACACAACGTCTAAAACACTTAACATGGGCGACCAACATCACTCTGCTGACCTCAGTCTTGGCTGCCGTCCAGCTCACTACACTACTACAACGTCTATTTTTTCAGGAAGTTCTTGAAACAACAGTCTTGAAGAGCGAGAGTCTCCCCCCGACGGCGTTCTGTTCCCCGGGTTTATGACTGACTGGGGCAGTAGTGAACGCGTGCTGGAAAGTCCTCCCTCCTCCCCTGCACATCTCAGAGCCTCCGTCGTCACCATCCTGCGACTGCTCTGTCTCACGACTTTATGAGGCCGAAGATGTGAATATGCGAGGCCTTCCCCCTCTTTTTATGATTGTATATTACGAGATGCAGACATGTAGCAGAGGGTCTATCATATGAGCTGGGGGTTCCTCCACTAACCTTATGGGGGTTTATACGTGCTGGAATGTTTCCTCGGCGGGGTGAACCATTGATAGCGCCGATAACTGCACCAGAGTCAGGAATATGATGACAAACGCCGCGAAAACTAAAGCCACCAGTTTGCATACCCGAAAACCGTCTCTTTAAGACAATGGGACAGACAGTCAAAGGGTATTTTAGGATTCCCAGCGGACAGCGAGGGGAAGAAAAAAATCGGACAATCACTAGGAAAGATGGAAAGGCCTTCTACTTCCTGCACATAAAATCGACATCACCGTAGGCTTAGTAAGTGTTCCATGCCGCTCACAAAGACGATTCCCGGGGAGGCAGGAGGAAGTTTATGAGCGGCGCCAGCCATATCACAGCTGGAATCTTAGGGACCCGTCAAGAAATCTGAAGGCTGGAGCTGGGAATGGCTCTCCCTGAAGGGTTGGCGATTACACCTCACGTTCCCTCCTTCCCTAACGTGTCTGGGCGCCTTCACTCACACCACCCACCACCACCCAGCTCCTCTACGGCGCCGCCCACAGTAAAGAATTTAAAAAAACAACTTCGTCAGCGTAAATTTTAAAAACTCCGTCAGTTTAAATTAAAGAGAACTTCAATTCTTTTAAATATTTAACAGGACGTCCACTCTGTAATGTGACTCGTAAACACTTAGAGCTAAAAGTTACGTTTCTGCTACATAACCAAACTTCCTATTGTATCATATATAGTTCTAAAGCACAACAGTCAATACTTCAATAATCAAGTGGACCAAAATCAGCTGAGCAAAATATAACACACGGGTCCCTAATGTCTCTAACCAAGGCCAAAATACAACGAACATTTCATTAATCATCACCAAAATATAATGATCATTCCACGAAGTAAACAGAAGGGGGCCTGGGAGCCACTGAGAATTGAGCCAACGCGAGCCACTGAGAATTGAGCCAACGCGAGATCAAAATAATTTAGCGAAACTGGAGAAAGTTGCCCACGGTCGACCATCATGAAATTACCCACTTCTAGCGATCAATAATAACGTGTTGTGTAGTGTGGTGGCCTGGGGGGAGGGAGAGAGGGGTGATAAAGGGAGGGAGAGGGAGGGAGAACAACTGGTAGTGAAGGGAGGAGAAGGGAGAGAGGAGGAGGGGGAACAATTGGTAGTGAAGGGACGGAGAGGTGATAAAGGAGGGAAAGAGGGAGGGAGAGATGGTAAAAGAGGGAGGAGGGGAAACAATTGGTAGTGAAGGGAGGAGAAGGGAGGGAGAGGTGATAAAGGCAGGAGAGAGAGGGAGAGGCGATAAAGGAAGGAGATAGAGAGGGAGAGGCGATAAAGGAGGGAGATAGAGAGGGAGAGACGATAAAGGAGGGTGGGAGAGAGGGGGGGAGGAGCACAATTGGTCGTGAAAGGAAGAGTAGAAGGGGGGGAAACAGCGATAAAGTAGAACAGGGAGGCGAGATAAATAATCGAACTGGAAAGAGGTCGAGAAGAAATTGATGGATAAAGAATACTTGACGATAAAAGAGGATAAGGCAAGGTAAATAAAATTAATAATCAAGGTGTACAAGACATAGGGTGATAATCCTCTCTCTCTCTCTCTCTCTCTCTCTCTCTCTCTCTCTCTCTCTCTCGACGGGATTAGGAACAACGTTGGTGAATAAAAGACGCCCCCATAACACGAGACATGATAAATATATTGATCAAAACATCGACTTGGCCAACAAGGCTAAGGAATGCACGCTAGGGGACCATAACGATTTACAAACACACACACTCATACGTTTACCACCTTTCTCTCCTTCTCCCTCATTCCTCCCCTCATATACACCCAGCCTCCTTCCCCCTCATCCTCCTTCTTATGCTTCCCCTAATCTACACTCAGCCTCCCTACACCCCCATTCCCTCAAATACACCCACCATTCCTCTTCCCCTATCACCTACACCTAGTCTCGCCCCCTCCACCATCTCTTCACCCCATCTCACTAAGGACGGGAGGAAAGAATGAAATGGAAGAAGGGGGGAGGGGAGAGGCAGGGGGAGGGGGAGAGGCAGGGGGGGTAGAGATATTGGGAGATACGCAGTCAGGGCCCTCTGTATCACCCTGGGAGGCACTGAGTTAGGGCGCTCTCTATCACCCTGGGAGTGAGTCAGGGCTCTCTCTGTGTCACCCTGGGAGGCACTGAGTCAGGGCTCTCTGTGTGTCACCCTGGGAATGAGTCAGGGTGCTCTATGTCACCCTGGGAGTGAGTCAAGGCTCTCTGTGTCACCCTGGGAGTAAGTCAGGGTGCTCTATGTCACCCTGGGAGGGAGTCAGGGCTCTCTGTGTCACCCTGGGAGGCACTGAGTCGGGGCCCTCTGTGTGTCACCCTGAGTTAGGATCCAAGTCTACTAGGATAACCCTTGACTCTTCCATAAGTGGCACCCATCAGAGGCACCCATCAGAGGCACCCATGAGTGTACTCTTCGTTTCCACCAAAGTGTCATGCCACCAACCATGACAAACACACACACACACACACGCACACACACAACGCCTTTATTCTCCCCAAACTAACGTATGCGTCACCAGCCTGGTCGTCTTCTCTCAACTCCACCCAACAACGTCAGCTAGAGAAGGTACAGAAAAGAGCCTGCAGAATCATGCTCGGCGCAGAATACTCCGGCTACACCAACGCTCTCTCCACCCTGGAAATGCCATCCCTCAGTGACCTCCACCACCAAGCACTGGAAAGGTTTGGCCGTGGACTACTGCACCACCCTCGCCATCGCCACCTCCTGCAGCCCCCCACCCAACTCACGCAGTCCGCCACTACAACAAAATTCAGCCCATAAGAGCCCGCACCGATAGATATAACAACAGCACCATCCCATCTATTGTTAAAATAATAAACAACTCCTGATTTATGTACTGTACAGCCCTGTAAATGTATTCAATGCATATTATATCATTATGTCTAAATCAAATGTAAGTTTGTATATTTTCAGCCACCGGCAGCAACTCTATTAATAAACCGTTTATTATTATTATTATTATTATTATTATTATTATTATTATTATTATTATTATTATTATTACACAAACACAGGAGGAGAAAGAGGAAGAAAACAATTTAGTACTTATTCCCAACACCACCGTAACTAACCTAACCTAACCTAATCTAACCTAACCTAACCTAACCTAACCTAACCTAACATAACCTAACCAAGTTCCACCCACAAAGAATCAAATCCCATCACTTTACGGAAACAACTTGGCCAGACCGCCCCCTCCCCCTCTCAAGTCCTCCTCCACCACTACGAGATACACACTCAGCCTCCCTCACACCTGGCGGCTAATTAACACCTTCAACACTCACACAGATTAAAGGGAACACTTAATAGCTCTGTCGTATAATATTCTCAAAGGTTCGTATGGTGATTTTTTTCTCCTAAGTGAAGATAGAAGTTTAGAGAGAGAGAGAGAGAGAGAGAGAGAGAGAGAGAGAGAGAGTGTGTGTGTGTGTTTGTGTGAATGGTTGGCTGGATGTACGTACGTGTGTTGGTCAGCGTGGCAATGTTTACACACACACACACACAAGGGAACACGTTTTTTATACTACGTGTGTGTAATAACGTTAAATCTCATAGGCGAATTGAAGCCATTACTGTCCTCTACTAACTGCTAATTACGTTGGGTTAGATTAGGTTAAGTTAGGTTAGGTTAGGTTTAAGCCACGGAGGTCCTGATTGATTGTGGGAGCGTCACTCACTCACGGACCAACAGTGTTCTGGCGTCTCACTATATTGTCCTAGACGTAATCTTCCATATATATTTCGCCTTGATATTTACTTTCCTGATCCTAACATCACTTTAAACTATAATTCTATCATTCTTGACTTTCATCTTTATTTGTTCTTTGTTATTATCCACACTCTTATTTCTCTTTATCTTTTGTTCTTTACGGTGTTTTTTCTCTTGTTGGCTTGTCATCTTTCTGCCTCTTACTCATACC